AAGATAATTACATTATAGCCAATCTTACCCGTTTTCACAAAATGCAAGAATTAGGTCTCCCGTTTCCAGACGTTTCCAGAGAATTTTTACATGAGCATAAAAATATGTTCGATTTGCCGCAAAAGCGCAAAAAACCGCCTGTAAATCTTGCATGCCGCTTTATATTAACACTTTCTGGTCCCGATTCTATTTCTGAACGTCTCCTGTTCACGTCCGGTCAAACGAACTATTTTCAACGTTTCTGGAACGTTTACAATCGTTTTATAATCGAACCAATATTCGAATTTTATGTTCAAATTTAATTCGAACAAATTCGAACAAAACATTCGAAATAGAAAGCCACTTTCAACCACTTTCAGCCTCATATCTCCCGCACCCTTATAGCTATCGACACGCAACCACCCCTATGCACGAATGGAGACTTGGGGCTACCACCTCATACAAACACCATTCACGTGAGATGTGTAGTTTTGGCGGAAAAGTGAAATATAGGAACATACATGTCCATTTTTATATATAGATATAGATATATAGATATAGATATATAGATATAGATATAGATGAAATGTTCAATGCATGATTAATAATGTCCACGTGCAGGTTCGCAAAATACATTATACATTCAACTGACCTCTAATTAATTCGGCTACAGTTTCGAAAAATTGTAGACATAAATTCACACTGTTACCTTGTCCCACTGTTTCAGTATTAGCTTTCCCTTGCTTTGTTTTAACTGTTGTTATATAGCTGTCTTTCAACTTCCTATTTTAATTTTTATTTTACACTTTTTGTCAGTCTAAATTCGGTTAGTTTAAGTTAGTCTTAGTTATAAATGAGATTAGAGACTTTTAGTTTCCGGTTAAGTTATGATAGGTTTGGTTAAATTACATAAGGGTTGTTAGCTATAGTCGTCTGGTTAAGTCTGTCCTATGTTATGGTAGGTTAGTTTAGTTAGTGAGTAAGTTAATGTTTAAAAATAAACAAAATAGATAATAAATAAAGAAATTAATTAAAAAAATTGGGGTCTTGCTTGTTTGTTTTCAGTCGGTTCGTTAATCTTCTTTACTTTGTGTGAGGTAGCAGAAATTCCTATATTCGAACTAGACTTTACTATTAGTATTCTTCGAGTTACGTAACAATTGTTGTTCGTAGCTACCTTAGAGAGTCTCCCATTACATTTTATCGAAGGCAAAACGACGCTTTCTCGCGATCTTTTAACCTCTGGACGGCCGATATCGTCTGTGAATATCGCCAGAGACAGGTGGAAAAAAGTCAGTCGTCGTTTGTTCCTCCGTCAAAGGAATCCCGTACCGATTACTCCGGGAAAATCGTTGACCAGTGCCCATTTGGACAACTTGTGCCATTATTGTGCTAGTGGATATTATAGTGGAACTAATCACGATCGGAACTGTTATCACCCTAAGAGAGCTTCATTAGGAAATCACTTTTTATCACCAGGTATTTATGCAACTCGCGCTCGTTATGTGAACTCTCTCTCTCCGCGACCAACTTTAGAATCTCTGTATCTTATCCAATTTATTTTAAATTAAATCCTTGTTAATTGTAAAGTGTAGTTCGAGTCTCTTCCACATGCTGTCTCTTGATCGGCTGACATTACGAATCCGTCTGTCCACTTACGGGACCGCTCGCGCGACGGTGTGACGTAGTAATTGCCGTCTCGGCTTCCATGTTTCGATAAACACGGTGGTGTCAATCCTGACAGGGCACTAAAGAGGTGCCGACCCGAATGGTCACACTTTGTCATTGTGTTCGTTTATTGTCACACTGTCTGTCTAGTTGTCTAGAATTTGGATTTGGACTCGCGTTCAGTTTTATTAGTATTAAGTAGATATAAGTTTTAAGTGTTCCAACTAACAGCCACTTGACACTAACTTTTACACATAGCTATTTGTGGCGGCACTCAAATAAATTGGTGTCTAAACTTGCTATCGGGGAGTGTAGAAAGTCGGTCAAATAACTTGTTTCTAATCGCCGTATAAACTGTGGCAAGCGAGAAACGCCGTTTGTGCAATTAAATTTTTCTAAACCGTGGTCTGAACGATCTGTAAACTGCGTCGGCGTTTAAACGTTGTCTCTGCAATCGGCAAGTCTTTCATATATGTATGTATGGAATCAGTCTGTGTCCGTCCGTCTGTTCGTGTTTCCTTAATCAAAAAAAAAGAGAAATAGGTATATGAAATACGAGAGAGGTATGGAAACATTAGGGAGAGAAAGCCTCCATTAACTGCACGTCTTCCTTCAATGTGAAATGTTATTTACCTTCTTTAAATTCAGAATTTTTCCCCTAAAGTCTTTTGTTAATAAATGACCTGCACGGCTCCATTTCTAACGGAAAAGTATGATGTACAGAGGCAAGCAAATATTAATTTGAGGTGGAAAGCTTATAGTTTAAATGAAATAAATTAAAAATATATCATTAAAAATTGTACCCCGGCATTGTGATGTTGTCACAATAAATAATTCTTCGTTTACAAAATAGTATATTCATGAATCACAAAATAATACAATGAGCAGTGTTGTAAATAGGCAGAGATAACGGGTTATGTACCCGTTGCATCAATATGGTTACGCAATGATCAGGACCCAGATGTAATCGGTATGTAAACAGATTCCATAACGTTTTCTATTAAAGTGAAAAAGTCATTGACCATTTGTGTTGTATTTGATTTTTATATTTTTTGAAAGTAGGAAGAGACCAAAACTTAAATTTTACACAGGGCATATATAATGATACTTACATCACAGGAACTAATGTACAATAAAAACTGCCAGGTATTAAACCTTTAAAATATGAACTGGCAATATCCTCACCGTTCACCCAATCTGTAAACCTCAGTCGTGTTTCTTACAGGTATATCTTGTTTTTTATCTTCACTGTGACTACGAGCAGCTGAGATTGGAATGTAATAAATATATCTTTACGCATAATGTTAATTTATCCGAATCATAGTCTGAATTTCAAAGTGAAATAACATAAGTTTTTCTTTTCTCTTGTTTGAGTTTAAATAGTATGAAGTCCTATTTGATAATTAAACTAAGCATTTTTATATTTCTACATTTATTATTACAACAGCTATGCTCAAAAATTGGACTAGTTATAATACTATGGGATGATAACATTGTAAGAGAAGTCTAGAGAATCGATATGTATGAAATCACGAATCACTGTGAAATTTCACGCATTCAAAGATAATTTGAACGAAACCAGTGAAGATACAATAATATCTCAACGCATTAGTACAACTCCTATTGAGTGCAGTTATGCAAAGCGTAAGAGGCATAAGACGTCCAGACTAGCTCCTGAGAATCGTTTCGGTAGAAGAAACCAAAAATGCAAATTTACAATTATATACAAAAATATTAATACACTTTATCACAGTCTGTGAGGAAGATTATACTTTACAGCGGTTTTGCATATTTTAAGAGAAGAAAAATCTCAATCTCTTTTCTTTTTAACATGATTAAGTTTCAACCTTCGTACCGCAAATCTCTTGTGTTCGCAAGAGTGACGTGTTTTCGGCTACACAGTAAGTTTTAACGTGTAAATATCCGCTTACTGTAAATATTTTCCCGTTTTAGACAAGTTTTACTGTTTTTTTTTCGACGACAAGGAACATTCGTTTTTATTGCACGATTTGCGTTTAAAGTCACAAATTTTCATGCCGAAAAGGTTGGTTTTATATATTAATTTACATTGGAAAATATTTTTCTGTAGCAATGCCCAATCGCGATGAGCCACCCAAACTTCAAAATATTAAAATTCTATNTTTAAAGTTTCAAATTTTCATGCCGAAAAGGTTGGTTTTATATATTAATTTACATTGGAAAATATTTTTCTGTAGCAATGCCCAATCGCGATGAGCCACCCAAACTTCAAAATATTAAAATTCTATTCGAGTTCGAAACGGTCTCGTGTATTCCTTTTCTGTTCGTTTTCATCAAACGAGTAAGATTTTCTAATTAACTTTCAGTCGTTAACTTTGCTCTAATTCGATTATTTTAACTTATTTAAATTAATTTACAGTAAATATTAAATAAGTTTTTTATTATTAAGCTGAAATGTTAAAACCATGGTCTTCTCCTTCGTTTCTTGTTTTTTTTTTTCCGGCCCGATGATTTTCTGTGATCTTTTCCTGTAGGTAGACAATTAATATAATGTAGCAACTTGTACCTTACAGTAATTTATTACTTTTCCCTATTCACTTTTAGAACACCTTATAGAATGATGCCAACTTTGTGGTGTAATACATAAATATAAAATTCTTCGTTTTTTCCTCAAGAATAACTGCTGTACATTTGTGAAATTATATATTACTAGCATATAAGTTTGGCGTTTTTCAAATTTTCATGCCGAAAAAATTGGTTTTATATATTAATTTACATTGGAAAATATTTTCTGTAGCAATGCCCAATCGCGATGAGCCACGCAAATTTCAAAATATTAAAATTCGATTCGAGTTCGAAACGGTCTCGTGTAGTCCTTTTCTCTTCGTGCACAAACTAACAACAGCAAAGATTAATATTATTCGATTATTTCGTACTTATAGCCCTTCTACTATATTATATTATAGTATTTGATTTATATTTACAAAGGTTATCTTATGTAAGAATTTATCACACCGAGTGCACAATCTAACACATTTTAAAAATTCTGTAATTTGTTTATAGTAGAGGAATAAATTATTATCATTATTAACCCATCTCGATTATATTATAAGATACGTACCAATTATTACTATATGCATATGTGTAAAAGTATTTATAACTTACCTGTAGTTGTTAATTTGTTTGTTTTCTAATCGCACGAATATTTTTTCTAGGGAAACAGAAAATTACTGTAGTGTTATTTTATGCAAAGGTTGAAAACAACAGCTTTTACTTAAATGGAATTGTTGACAAGGATGCTAATCATTTTGCTACTCTCTTATATAATAATATCACGTATGAACTGTATAGAACTAACCCAGTTAAAATACTATGAGATAATATCATTGAAAATAAAGTTTAATGAAAACACTAAAGCTAGATCTATTCGCGAGAAAATAGAGATTACTGTGAAATTTCAAGCATTCAGAAAGGATTTCGAACTGAACCTGCGAGAAGACAATTCAATAACATCACCAAGCAGCAAAGTCTTTATAATTGGAAAGGAAATTATCAAATTATATCTGAAAAATGTCGAGGGGTCTTCCATTTACGAAGGAAATGTTTCGGGTGCAAAGCAATCTTCCGTAAACGGATATCTGCACGAAAATGGATTTGTTGGTAAAATTCACTTAAATAACGAAACATATTATACAGAAACTGCCTCTACGTATTTAAAAAGTGCAATTTATAAAAATAAATTAATAATTTATAAAGAAGTGGATATATTACCTGTAAGAGGTAGAAGTTTAAATGGGAATAGACCTTCTACCAATAGTCTGTTAGATGATTCTGTGTCAAGAAAATATTTTAACTACAATAAAATCTGGGAGTCATATTCTGTACGAAAATCTACACTTAATAATAGGTAATAATTATGATTAATTACAATTGATACGCTTTATTTTTATTTATTTTATGTAATATCTTTAAGGAAACGATTAACCTGCAATTTGGATATAATGGCAGATCATACTTTCGTAGATGCATTTGATTGCGATCGAGCGACTATTATTGCAGAAATATTGTATCACGTGAAGGTGGCAGACAAAGTTTTTCGACAATTAAACTTTAACGAAGATGTAACAAAGGGGATAAGACTTAATGTAGAAAAAATCACAATCATTGAAAATGCAAATAGCTCTTTTTATCACTTGAATTTCATTGAAACTAACGCTACTGCTTTTACTCTTCGCCTGGCTGATTTTTCGAGACAAACTTCGTGCCTGTCGGTAACCTTCTGTAACAGAGAATTTAATGAAATAATTGGACAGGCAATACTGGGTAAGTTTATGTATAGCATTTAATCAAATTTATGCGTAAATTTATAACCACTTCAAGAAATAATATAATGTAAATTGAAGAATCGGTAAATTGAATGTTGTAGTAATTCTTTCTTACATCCGCGATTTAAAGATTTCAGCTGATCAGTGGCTTCGTTGATAACACACTTCTGAACTTGCATGTAAAAGACCCATGCAACACATGGGTCTTCTACATGTGGCTTCTCAGAAACTTTTTATTAGCAATTGGAAGCAATACAGGTGTTAACACAAAAAAACACCCGAAAAACATCACGTGACCAGCTTGTTATTCAGTTGTTACCCATGACATATTGGTGTTCAAGTTTATTCACTTGGTATACAATATATTAAAACGACTTTCTATATAGTGTATCTTTAAAATATATATTTATAATAATTTTTTATAATAGCAAACTCAATACATATACCAAAACACACGTTATAAAAATTATTACATATTATTAGTGTATATAATATCCTCAATTAATATGTTTCTTTAAATAATAAATGTTCTATTTAATAATTATAATTTATATTTTTTTAGGAGGTGTTTGTTTAGGAAGTAAGACAGATAAAAGTTACAATATAGTGTTTGTTACAACTCTTGTACGGAGTAAAAAGGTTTTAAAAGCATACGTTAGCAATACTTTGTTTCACGAAATGGGCCATTCATTTGGGAGTGAACACGATCCACCTAAAGATAAAATATGTTCTCCTGGAGATATGAATGACCCTTTCGGAAATTATATCATGTATAGTGCTTTAATACTCAATTACACGGATGGATCATTGTACAATAATCGGATTTTCTCACCTTGTAGTAAAAGACATATATACAAACGTTTGTTTGTGGACAATGCAGGTAGGTATATTTGATATATTATGTAGAAGAATAATTAATGTGTATAATTTTAGAATATCTTTACATTAGTATTCCTAATTGTTGCCATTTTGTGAATTGTAATAATGATTGGTGAAATAGAACAATGCGGTAAGGGAAGATGGAACAAGATGTTGTAGTTAGGAAATCATTTCAAATAACCCATCTTGCCTCACAGATTGGGAAACACAGGTGTTTCTCAAATTAAGTTCGTTAAAATTAAACATCAAAGAATGAATAAAACATTATTTAGTTCTCGTAAAGAAACTTTTATAGCAGAAAGTTTCATTTTTTTCAACAAATAAGAAGAAAGTGTGGTAAATCTCATCGTCATTATCTTCTTTAACACATGATCAATGTTTCCATTAATGATATATTAGACATCATATCCTATCTCCTGATGAAGTAGAGTGAAAATATTGACAGTAAACCTATTCAATATACATCTTTTAAAGAGCCTTCTACAGTTGCTTTACAACGGAGGTATTCTTATTTTTCTTTTTTGTATTTTATTACATGATGAGTAGTTTTTTTCTTTCTCCCTAAATTTGTTTTTTATTAAGCCTTATTTTTCGTTTAGAGGACAAACGAAAGACATGATGACCCAATTTTCCAGACTTTCTTACAATTTCTGGTGTGAGATATAAGAATGATTTTTGACGCAGCAGTAAATTTGTAATTTTCCATAACCATTTTTCTAAACGGTGTGAACTTGACTGCGAAACATATTAAATTCCATATAGGTGAAGAGATATGCACCAATTATTTCTTTCACTTTGCAAATTTAATTTCAGAATTTAGGCTATTAAATTACAGACACAAAGTTTCATTCAAACTACACCATACTTTGCATTTCTAATAAGTCTTGTTCTACCTTCTCGTGTTCATAGTTGATGAATTTTTCTTGACATCTTCTTTCCTGTGGGCACTAAAAGAGCTCATTTAACATTCATTGTGGGTTTCACCAGACCAGTTGGTAAAAGAACGAACTCGATATATCCAAGACATACAGCCAACAAAAGATCCAAATATTCTTAAAACGTTGAACTGATCCTGAAAACAAATTCAGAAAACAGTTTTGCATGTCTATTGCTCTTATTACAATCTTCAAATAGCAATTTGTCACAATTATTTATATAAATAATGAACTTTTTAGTAATTAAAATGATACTTTTACAGCATTTTGTATGAAGAAATCGGAATCGATTTGTGGTAATGGAATAACAGAAGAAGGAGAAGAATGCGATTGCGGAAACGTAACTTATTGTAGGAAGCTGGATCGTTGCTGTAATCCACCAGGATCCCGTGCACCGTGTACCATCCTTAAATATTCGAAAAATTTTTGTAGTCCACGTGAAGGAAAGTGTTGCAACGACCAATGCCGATTTGTGGCAAAAGAAGTAAAACGCAAATGTTTTGTTTACATTCCTTGCAGAGAAAAAATTCGTTACTGCAATGGAATGTCACCATTTTGCCCTGAGGTTATTTTACCAGATGGAACATCGTGTTTAGACTCGAAAGTCTGTAGATCTGGTACGTGTACTATTGATGTGTGCAAGCGCAGCGGATTAGAAACTTGTAAATGTCCACCGAACAAAGAATGCCATTTTTGTTGTAAGAATAAAGAAGGACATTGCAAAACCGCTACAGAATTTAACATTTTTAAAGCAAACAGGGAAATATATGTAATGTTTCCAGGAACACCTTGTAATAATTATACAGGCGAATGCTTAAAGTAAGAAAATATTATTTTATACAATATGTAAATATATGATATTATAATAAATAAAAATTAATTATATTTTCTTTCAGAAATGGAAAATGCTATGTTCAACATACATCTGATAAATCCATCTCGGGAAACTGGAAAGATACTTTCTGGAGTTTATTTCTAATTCCATCCTTCTTGACTTTGTTTTTTTAATTGTATTTTATCGTTATTTCAAGAGAAAATACTATAAAAATCAGATATATTCAAAATATTTATTTATTTAAAAATTATAAAGCTGATTATGCCATACACTCTTCTCAATGCAAACGGTGGTAGAATGAATGATATCACTAAACATTGGCAGACATGTTTACACTCAATCACTAAACACAATATTTTAATGGATAATTTACTGAAACTTTTAACACTTTGAAAAAAAAAAATATAAACTTGAAAGTTGTAAAATTAGTATAACCGTGTTATATTGCATTTTTCGAGCCCATTGTGTGGGCTCCCATGGACAACGCGATCAACCACACCTGCGCAACCTTAGTCGAAAACAAAGCACCCAACCATCGAGCCGTATAGCGTAGGTAGATGGATGTGGTAATGGATGTGGTAACTTCGTAGGCGATGGATGTGGTAACTTCGATACGATTAGCTGGTCAACATAATTCTTTCGATGCACTTCCTACAAATGGATGAAACTATGAGTACGAATGTAATGTTTTATGGACCACCGACATTTTTTGTGTTCCTCAGTTGCTTCTTGCTTCCCTGCTACGCCCGCTCCGCCGCAGGTATTGGTGCTCTCTTTTCCACGTCTTGCATGTAATCGTCGAAAGCGTTAATTTATTTTTCCTTTAATTAATTGATGACAATGGACATAATCACCTAACAAGAAAGTTTGTAATTTTCTTGCCTCGCAGCGCAATGACGACGAATAATTGCATTGACATAATTTAATTAACTTGGTCTCTTCTGTCGACTTCAATAGTGCTTCATTGTGTCAACATAGGCTTTGAGCAGCCATTTGTATCAGAAAAAAAAAAAACGCAAAGCCGGCTACTACATATAATTATGTGCCGAAAATTTTCAATTACTAATATTGAGATAAATGTTCCATATCATGAAAGCATTTGTCTTGAAACATATGTTTTATGCAAAATTATTAAATGACCCTTAAAAGTGCATCTTATAAACCTCATAAGCATTATCATTTGTTCTTTTTAATAAAATTCTATCGTTTTCACAACAGTGTCAGTAATATCCGACAGTCAACTAGTGGAGGACTCCTCGACATAGTAGCGAAGGCAGAATTATCGAGATTGTAGTGAACATTATTGAAATAATTATAACAAATTATAAAATAATAAAGAAAAGTTATTTTATGTTAAATTTTTCAACAGTACGAAACAATGACTCCATTTTAGAAAATTTTGAATTGTTGGAAATAACTATACTTTATTCAGAAATGATTTAAAAACATATTTTAATTTATCATACTTTTCTGATATTTTAATTAATAGATTAAAATAAAATACTTCTCCAGATAAATTTCGTTATGAATAAAATTTAATTTCAAATCATAAATTTATTGTCTCAACAATAAATAAATAAACAATAGATTTAACAATTATTTCGAAACAAATAAAATTTAATAATGCTGTATTTTATTAAAATGAATTCTCTGACCATTTTGTTGAATATTTATGTTAGTTTCCTTTTATTTCCTATCTCAATAAATTATCAAAAATTACAACAGTTCAGAGATTACGACATAATAGACTTCAAAGCAAATTTCAATGATGGTAAGATAGCAGAACATATAAGGAGTAAGTTGCCATTTACTCTGAGGTTTCGAGCATTCGAAAAGAATTTTGAATTGATTTTGCAAGAAGATAATACAATAATATCTCCGAGTGCCAAAGTCTTTATAGTTGGTGACGAAATTATCAAGTTATATCCTAAAAACATCGATGGCTCAGCAATATACAAGGGAATCGTTTCGGGAGAGCCACAGTCTTTTGCAAATGGTTATCTGCACAGAAATGGATTTATTGGCAAAATTCAATTAAAATACGATACTTTTTATACAGAAAATGCGTTTACGTATTTTAAAGACGAAACCTTTAATGATAAATTAATAATTTATAAAGACGTCGACATAACACCTGTACAATGCAAAAGAATAAAAGGAAATCGATCGCATTCCAAGCGGAAAAATAAATTTTATAAAAATTTATTTAATCGTAAAGAAACTTTGAGGTCTGTTTTTGAAATAAACTCTACATTTAACAAACAGTGAGTTTTATTAATTTAATCTTTATGGATTAATAAGGACTAGTTTGTAATTTAAACACTTAAAATAGTAATAAAATGAAAATTTCCGTCGTTTTCAGAAACATGTTAATGTGCAGTATAGAGATAATGGCAGACCATACCTTCGTAGATTATTTTAATAAAGATCGTGGAGCAATTATTGCAGAAATGTTATATCATATGAAAGTTGCAGACAAAGTCTTCAGAAATTTAGATTTTAGCACGGTAGATGCAGCTGAAGGAATAAAAATTAATGTGGAAAAAATTACTATCATAGAAAACCCAAATAATCCTGGTTATTATTTAAACGAATCTATAGATAACCATTTCGAATACACTACACTTCTATCTGGTCATTCAAAACAAACCTGGTGCATGTTTATAAATTTCTGCCACAGAGACTTTACAGAAACAATTGGAGAGGCGTATACTGGTAAGACAAAAATATCAGATAATTTAAATTTTAGACCACTGCAGGAAATCCAAATTGCTGCACTCTATTAAGTCATTACAAAAGCAGGAACTTGCAATTAACTTTTAACGTTAAAATAAAGAATCTCTCTTAAATTCTTCATTGAATACTATTAGCATTAATTAGCCTTTTTCTTACCAATTGCCACGCTTCTTTCTTTCAGCTTGTAGAAGGACCGAGGACAATATGCTTCAGTCAAGCGATATTATTTTAAAAATTCACCAAAAATCAAATTATCATTATATTCATACAAAAAATATTCCATAGACGATCCCGTTATTGATCACTTATAAATATATCATAACTTATTTTCAGATATAATAATATTTATAAATTAGTACTTAAATTGAAAATGAACATTTTCTATTAGGAGGAGTTTGTTGGGGAAACCCAAAAGGAATGAGTGGAAACGTGGCATTTATAACAAATGTGGCTTATAAGAGAAGAGTTCCACGAATGCAGATTAGTAAACGTTTGCTTCAGATAATGGGGAATTTACTCGGGGGTACCAACGATCCTCCTGATCATCCCGTGTGTTCACCCGCATACTTGAATAATAACACTCTCGGTAATTATATTATGTACAGCCAGTCAACATATAATTATTCAGATGGATGGTTGTACAACAACTGGAAGTTTTCTCCGTGCAGCAAAATTCAAATATACGAACATCTTTTCGTAAATAAGGGAGGTAATTAAATTTCCGTTATTATTAAATTACGTATAAACGAATAGTTTATTCTGCATATTCTTTTCGAATTTTTTCACGTTTAAGTTAATCAAATTTATAATACCCTTTCTTTAATTTCAAAATTTAAATTATTTAATACTTCATTTTTAATGTTTAAAACATTTGTTAGCTTCTTGCATGACGAAGCCAAAGTCAACATGCGGTAACGGAATAACGGAACAAGGAGAAGAATGCGACTGCGGAAGTAAAGAATCCTGTGAAAAACTCGATCCTTGTTGCAATCCTCCAGGTTCAGGTGCACCTTGTGCACTCCGGAAACGATCGAAAAACTTTTGTAGTCCGCGAGAAGGAGATTGCTGCAACGAGAAATGCGAATTTGTGGCAAAGGAAGAGCAACGCCAATGTTTCGTTTTAATTCCTTGCAGAAAAAAAATTCTTCAGTGTAATGGATTGACGCCATTCTGCCCGGAGATGATTTTACCAGACGGATCAAAGTGTTTAGGTCCTAATAAATGTAAATCTGGCAGATGCCTCATCGATATTTGTAAAAGAAATGACCTAGAAATTTGTAAATGTCCTGACAACATAGAGTGTCAGATATGCTGTAAAGATCAGAAGGGAAATTGCAAATCGGCTTCGAACTGGAAGATTAGACTGCCAGATAAAGAAATATTTGCAACATTTCCAGGAACACCTTGTAACAACAATAGTGGAAAGTGTTTAATGTAAGAGAATATTACTTTACAGAACATTGTGTATCTTTGTGATAAAAAACAATTTTTACTTTTTCAGGAATGGAACATGCAACGTAAAACACATTCGTGGAAATTGGTGGAATACTTTCTGGCCATATTTATTACCGATTCCGATATACACGATCATCCAACTTTTCGTTGGTTTGTATCGATATTGCGAAAAATATATTATTTTATATCAAACTTGAACGTTAAAGACGAAATATTAAAACTAAATAAAGTTATTATACGGTTATTAAAACAATACAAATGAATGTGTTTATCAACGCAATTATACATTTTTTTAGATTTAATTACTACGAAAATCCAAAATACGTTTATTCACACTTTATGGAAAAATAGTTGTATCTTCCTGTTTGAATAGTATGTTACTTAAAATTAAAAATTAATTACTGTGTATGCATGCAGGTTAATACAAAATGAAGCATAAATTCGTGATGGACTTTATTTTTATGACAAATTCAATTGCAATGTAGCATTAGTAGCAGCTGGGTTCAGTGGCATTCTGAGTATGCAGCAAGAATATAGTCAGGAAAGCAATTTTAATATATTATTTATATTGTAGAATTTTTTATGACATATTATTGTAAATATTAAACACTACAATTTGAAAATGTTTTTTTTTTTCAATTTTATGAGTTTTGAGATATTCTAGCTTTCGAACTTGTAATTTTAATAACCGTAAAATACAGGAAGACAGAGCACCAAACATCGTACAATATACCGTAAACAGATGAATGTGGTAATAATGAGCACACTGTGCTTCTGTGATGAAAATGTAAAAACAGTGAGAAAAAGCGTGGCAAGAAAGTTTTCTGCAGCCTTTTAGATTGAACGTAATGGTTTAAGCTGTGTTATTGTCGTGGAAGTTTCACAGATACTTCAATACGATTAGCTTGTCAACATCATTGTTTCAATGCCTTTCCTATAGGTGGACGGATTCACAGGTACGAGTGGCTTTACGAAAGCGTCGTTCAAAGGTTGCAGTGGGAAGGCAGACAAACGATCGAAACAGTTTTGTTGTGCATGGTCAAGCACCTCCCAGTGTGCCAGTAATTTCCATTCGAAATGAGCAATATTCTTCTGAGAATTCTCATCTGTATTCTTGTGTGCCTGACGAAATGTTCCTCTAGGACCAAGACACCCTATAAAGAAACCTATTCAACTGGGCTAAAAGAACTTTGTCGTATGTATGGAATCCAACCCTATGGATTTAAGAGGCTCAGTGGACAACTGGAAATTGACAGTCTCTTTCCTTGTTGTATAATTGTCAGTATCTCAATATACGCTGAAGGTCTGAGTGAAAAAGTTGGGTCTGTTGCCCCAGTAAGCTCTGCACTGCGAGGTTATTACACCTGACAGAGCAAAGTGAAGACAGGGAAATCAACCAATGGATTAACCTGTGAAAGCAATCTTGATTTTTCGGAGTGCCTTCTGGTAGAGCTTGTCCCAATAGTGAAAAACCTAATAAAGGCAGTAATTAATAGATAAAATTACGGTAGACCAAAGCCGCTATATTTGGAGTTGAGGACTATGTCAGAGATGCAGTAGGAATTGCTTGTATTACTGCCATGGGTACCGTTTATCAAAGTACTGTTTGAAGTTTGATTATTACAACCCATAATCGGTTCTGTTCAATGTTTGAGCGTTTCGCTTTATTAGTATAGGACAAAGGCTACTGAAGGCGTTATGGTTTATAAGCCTTCTCTGGAGAAATTTCCTTGTTAGCTTTCCAGCAGTATATGCAGTTTATCTAGTACCTGGCATTGTTTGTTTCGGTGCCCCTTACCACTATGGCTGCACATCTGATTTTCTACATAGTCGCATGCTAGTAGATTAAAACCACAACACTGATAACAGCGTGTGATTGATATGAAGTCATCTACGTATTTTCCCATGACACAGAGCTGTGTCTGTGGACGATTAATGTGTTACAAGTAACTGGAGTAACAGAATAAAACATGTCGATTATTTTCTTTTGTTTTTTCACATTTTAGTATTGTGCTGATTATGCAAATTTCTCTTATAAATGTTTTGTTCCTGTTTTTTAGATATAATTCTGTTCTCTCATGACTTCTATAATTTTTTCAGCGATGCTGTTTGAAACGTTTAAAGAGAATGACTCTTCGTCTATGTATTGCACTTAACCTAACCTTTATTGTCTTGCTTAGCACTTCCAATTTTAATAATCTGTTAAAATCGAGCATGGGTTGCTCTCCTTTCTTTGCACTGGTTGATTCTTCGCTGCTCTGACTTCTCGTAGAATTCTTTGTAGTTGTCCTATGCATGAGAACATGCGTGTAACTCTTCGCGAATCTCATTACGTTCTTCGGGTTTTAGGCTTGACTTATATGTTACCGGTACAAGGTCTATTTGCTAACGAAGTAATAACTACTTGAGATTCCGAGTCCGGAGACATTATGATAACATCAAATCAATCAGAGTAGTAACAGAGTTTGAAAATTTACAGTTCAGTTCGGTCCGCAACACATACTTCGTAATGAGATAATCAACGTAGATAAAATAACCGCGATATAGAACCGATACAACACCATTAGACAGAACCACCGACACGATACACGGAAGCGGCAATAAACCAGTGTGGCAACCCCAAATTAAGATCGATTATGTAAGAGAACCCTTCCCTTTTTTATCCTGCCACGAAATCCGTTAATAACTTGAACCGTTAATAAAAAAGCGGCCAGAGTCACCAATTTTTAGGGTTGACAGAACAGATTTAAATGTACATTGCTCTAAACAGCCGGGCCGCAGAACACAGCGGAAAGCCCGCCCGAAGCTCGCAAAACGCGAAATTCCGGATCGTCGTAGAACGACAGAAATTAATCCGATATTAATAAAAATTAATATACCTATACCTAATAATAACCGATATCCACGATGCTTAACTAAAGAAAATTAAATTTTTCTGAAAATTAGAAACGCAAACCGAAACTGCCGGCAGTGGACCACAGTACTTAAACGATAAACGGCCTTAACTCCGTAATTTATGGAAAGAATAACACAGACTAAACGTCAAAATAATCCTTGTGATATCAGTAAACAGAGAAGGACAGACACAAGACTCACAATTACTCCCATAGAACGCCGATGTAGTAATCAAAAGTAAAAGCAAACACAACCACAACCACATAAGATTTTGACTTTTTTTCTGCAATTAGTGGAATCAATTCATCAAGATGTAGAGTAGAGCTTCGCAACGACGCGATGAGAAATACGATCACGAAGAAAATGAACTGGATAGTAACAGACTCCCGTCTCTATAACAAAAACAATTTAACTTACAAATTACTTACATTGGAATGAACTTTATTACATATTATGAAAGCCTTTGTCTTGAAATGCATCTTTTATGCAGAATTGTTAAATCACCCTTAAAAGAACATCTCATTGACCACAAAAGTATTATAGTTTGTTTTTCTAATAAAATACTATGGTTTTTGCAAACAGCGTCAGTAATAATGGAGAGTCAACTCGTGGAGGATTACTGAATGAACTAGCGAAGGACGAATTACAAAGATTGTAGTGTACTTTATTGAAAGAATTAGAACAAACCATAAAACAATTATATCAAATTACTTTATGTTGAACTCCTCAACAGTATGAAACAATGACTCAGTTTTAGAAAATTTTGAATTGTTGGAAATAACTAGATGTTATTAAAAAATGATTAAAAACATATTTTAATTTCTAATACTTTTTTCGTATATTTCACTTAAGAGATTAGTATAAATTAGTTTACCCAATAAATTTCGTTATTAATAAAATTGAATAACAAATCGTAAATATATTGTCTCAAAAATAAATAAATAAACAGTAGCTTTAACAATTATTTCGAAACAAATAAGATTTTATTATGCTATATTTTATTAAAATGAATTCTTTGACCATTTCGCTGAATATTTATGTTAGTTTCTTTTTATTTCCTACCTCAATAAATTATCAAAAATTACAACAGTTCAGACATTACGACATAATAGATTTCAAAGCGAAATTCAATAAGGATAAGATAGCAGAACATATAAGAAGAAAGTTACCAATTACTCTGAAGTTTCGAGCATTCGAAAAGAATTTTGAACTGATACTTCAAGAAGATAATTCAGTAATATCTCCGAGTGCCAAAGTCTTTATAGTTGGAGAAGAAATTATCAAATTATATCCTAAAAACATCGAAGGCTCTTCCATATACAAGGGAATCGTTTCGGGAGAGCCACAGTCTGTTGCAAATGGTTATCTGCACAGAAATGGATTTATTGGAAAAATTCAATTAAAATACAATACTTTTTATACAGAAAATGCGTTTACGTATTTTAAAGACGAAACCTTTAAAGATAAATTGATAATTTATAAAGAAGTAGACATAACACCTGTACAATGCAAAAGAATGAAAGGATATCGTGCCTGCTCTAAGCCGAAGAATAAATTATATAGAAATTTATCTAATCATAAAGAAACTTGGAAATCTGATGTAAGAAACTCAAAATTTAACAAACGGTGAGTTTTATTATTATTATTATTTCGATTAATAATGGACTAGTTTGTAATTTGAACACTTATAATAGTAATAAAATGAACATTCCCATTGTTTTTCAGAAACATGTTAATGTGCAGTGTAGAGATTATGGCAGACCATACTTTCGTAGACGACTTTAATAAAGATCGGGGAACAATTATCGCAGAAATGTTATATCATATAAAAGTTGCAGACAAAGTCTTCAGAAATTTAGACTTTAGCACGGTAGATGCAGCTGAAGGAATAAGACTCAATGTGGAAAAAATTACTATCATAGAAAACTGAAATAATCCTGGTTATTATTTAAACGAATCTATAGATGACTATTTCGAATATATTACACTTCTATCTGGTCATTCAAAACAAACTTGGTGCATGTTTATAAGTTTCTGCCACAGAGATTTTACTGAAAAAATTGGAGAGGCGTATATTAGTAAGACTTATAAATTGTGTAATATTAGTTTAAATTTTATAAAACAATGTATTTAATAATAGGCATTTTTCTTTGAATTTTATATCGGTAAAGATCACATTAATTTATTGATGTGATTTATGAATTTTGTTATAAATTACATTAACATAGAGTAATATATATGTTTAATATGTTAATGAATTTATAATTAACTATGCTTCAAATTTTCGATACTATTTTATCTTGGTTCAACCAGTTTAATGCGAAAAAGGGAAAATTCGCTGAAAGAACTCTTCAAATAAGAAGATATAACAGAATAATGTTTTTTGAATGATGCTAGTATGCATATACACTTATTATTATTTTCATGATTGGATTAATATTGTATAGTTGGATAGGTTAGTCATAGCGCTGTCATTTTTCAAACTTCAATAGCATATGAGGCTCTTTATTTCAAGCTAATTCTGGGTTTAACCCTGCCTAAAGGTGGAATCCGCGTAATGAGAAACACAATTTGAGTCACTATGACCTATAGAATGACATCAAACTTTCTAGGCGATTCCATATTGATCACTAAGATATAATAATATTTATAGATCAGTACTTACATTCAAAATGAATATCTTCTATTAGGAGGAGTTTGTCAAGGAAACGCAAGAGGAATGAGTGGAAACGTGGCATTTATAACAAACGTTGCATATAAGAGAAGAGTTCCACGAATGCAAATTAGTAAACATATGCTCCAGGCAATGGGGTATTTACTCGGGAGTACCAACGATCCTCCTGATCATCCCGTGTGTTCACCCGCATACTTGAATAATAACACTCTCGGTAATTATATTATGTACAGCCAGTCAACATATAATTATTCAGATGGATGGTTGTACAACAACTGGAAGTTTTCTCCATGCAGCAAAATTCAAATATACGAACATCTTTTCGTAAATAAGGGAGGTAATTAAATTTCCGTTATTATTAAATTTCGTATGATCGAATAGTTTATTCTGCATATTCTTTTCGAATTTTTTCACGTTTAAGTTAATCAAATTTATAATACCCTTTCTTTAATTTCAAAATTTAAATTATTTAATACTTCATTTTTAATGTTTAAAACATTTGTTAGCTTCTTGCATGACGAAGCCAAAGTCAACATGCGGTAACGGAATAACGGAACAAGGAGAAGAATGCGACTGCGGAAGTAAAGAATCCTGTGAAAAACTCGATCCTTGTTGCAATCCTCCAGGATCAGGTGCACCTTGTGCACTCCGGAAACGATCGAAAAACTTTTGTAGTCCGCGAGAAGGAGATTGCTGCAACGAGAAATGCGAATTTGTGGCAAAGGAAGAACAACGCCAATGTTTTGTTTTAATTCCTTGCAGAGAAAAAATTCTTTAGTGTAATGGATTGACGCCATTTTGCCCGGAGTTGATTTTACCAGACGGATCAAAGTTTTTAGGTCCTAATAAATGTAAATCTGGCAGATGCCTCATCGATATTTGTAAAAGAAATGACCTAGAAATTTGTAAATGTGCAGATAACAAAGAGTGTCAGATATGCTGTGAAGATCAGAAGGGAAATTGCAAATCGGCTTCGGACTGGAAGATTAGACTACCAGATAAAGAAATATTTGCAACATTTCCAGAAACACCTTGTAACAACAATACTGGATGGTGTTTAATGTAAGAAAATTTTACCTTCCAGAACATTTTGTACAGTATCTTTTTGATACAATATAATTCTTACTTTTTCAGGAATGGAACATGCAACGTAAAACACATTCGTGGAAATTGGTGGAATACTTTTTGGCCATATTTATTACTGATTCCGATACACACGATTGTCCAACTTTTCGTGGGTTTGTATCGATATTGCGAAAAATATATTATTTTATATCAAACCTGAACGTTGTAGAGTGTAAAAGTGAAATTATATAAAGTTTTTGTACGGTGATGAAAATATACAAATGAATGTGTTTACGTATAAACCCAAAATAAACAATTCTTTGGGTTTAATTACTATTACTTCAATTCTTTAACAAAAAGTTATCTGTGTTCTTTGGACCGAGTTTAGTTACTCGTATAGAAAAAAAATTGAACATTGATTTAAAACAGTATCTTTCTAAGGGTTGAAAATTAACCCCTGTGTATTTATGCAGGTTTATTCAGTGTGAGGGATAAATCTCCCACGGACATTATTTTTTACATTACAAATTCGATCAAAATTTAGTATTAGTAGCAGTTAGAAGCAGTGGCACTACATATATGCACTACATGTGTGCACTAAATGTGTGCTTGTATATAGTCACCAAGGCAATGCAATATTTTAGATAAAAATGTCTTCGAGTTTTTTTTACCATAAAGCACTGGTCTATACAAAGACATCTTGCTACAGTACGTTGATAAATACCAGTTTCACAGTTACCCTATTTCTACAGTTAAATTTTAAAATAATATTACGGTTTTCTATTCGAAAATTGCATTCACTAAATACAGTAGAGCGTCGATTATCCGAATCAATTGGGGACTGGGGTTGTTCGGAAGATCGATGTTTCGGATAACCGATTATGCACGAAAAATATATTAATTTTTCCATCTTGACATTTTTCTCTGTTGCGGTGTCGCTTCGCGCTGAATTTTCGTCGATGTTAAACCTNTTGTTTTTTTAATTGTATTTTATCGTTATTTCAAGAGAAAATACTATAAAAATAAGATATATTCAAAATATTTATTTATTTAAAAATTATAAAGCTGATTATGCCATACACTCTTCTCAATGCAAACGGTGGTAGAATGAATGATATCACTAAACATTGGCAGACATGTTTACACTCAATCACTAAACACAATATTTTAATGGATAATTTACTGAAACTTTTAACACTTTGAAAAAAAAAAAAAAATAGAAACTTGAAAGTTGTAAAATTAGTATAACCGTGTTATATTGCATTTTTCGAGCCCATTGTGTGGGCTCCCATGGACAACGCGATCAACCACACCTGCGCAACCTTAGTCGAAAACAAAGCACCCAACCATCGAGCCGTATAGCGTAGGTAGATGGATGTGGTAATGGATGTGGTAACTTCGTAGGCGATGGATGTGGTAACTTCGATACGATTAGCTGGTCAACATAATTCTTTCGATGCACTTCCTACAAATGGATGAAACTATGAGTACGAATGTAATGTTTTATGGACCACCGACATTTTTTGTGTTCCTCAGTTGCTTCTTGCTTCCCTGCTACGCCCGCTCCGCCGCAGGTATTGGTGCTCTCTTTTCCACGTCTTGCATGTAATCGTCGAAAGCGTTAATTTATTTTTCCTTTAATTAATTGATGACAATGGACATAATCACCTAACAAGAAAGTTTGTAATTTTCTTGCCTCGCAGCGCAATGACGACGAATAATTGCATTGACATAATTTAATTAACTTGGTCTCTTCTGTCGACTTCAATAGTGCTTCATTGTGTTAACATAGGCTTTGAGCAGCCATTTGTATCAGAAAAAAAAAAAACGCAAAGCCGGCTACTACATATAATTATGTGCCGAAAATTTTCAATTACTAATATTGAGATAAATGTTCCATATCATGAAAGCATTTGTCTTGAAACATATGTTTTATGCAAAATTATTAAATGACCCTTAAAAGTGCATCTTATAAACCTCATAAGCATTATCATTTGTTCTTTTTAATAAAATTCTATCGTTTTCACAACAGTGTCAGTAATATCCGACAGTCAACTAGTGGAGGACTCCTCGACATAGTAGCGAAGGCAGAATTATCGAGATTGTAGTGAACATTATTGAAATAATTATAACAAATTATAAAATAATAAAGAAAAGTTATTTTATGTTAAATTTTTCAACAGTACGAAACAATGACTCCATTTTAGAAAATTTTGAATTGTTGGAAATAACTATACTTTATTCAGAAATGATTTAAAAACATATTTTAATTTATCATACTTTTCTGATATTTTAATTAATAGATTAAAATAAAATACTTCTCCAGATAAATTTCGTTATGAATAAAATTTAATTTCAAATCATAAATTTATTGTCTCAACAATAAATAAATAAACAATAGATTTAACAATTATTTCGAAACAAATAAAATTTAATAATGCTGTATTTTATTAAAATGAATTCTCTGACCATTTTGTTGAATATTTATGTTAGTTTCCTTTTATTTCCTATCTCAATAAATTATCAAAAATTACAACAGTTCAGAGATTACGACATAATAGACTTCAAAGCAAATTTCAATGATGGTAAGATAGCAGAACATATAAGGAGTAAGTTGCCATTTACTCTGAGGTTTCGAGCATTCGAAAAGAATTTTGAATTGATTTTGCAAGAAGATAATACAATAATATCTCCGAGTGCCAAAGTCTTTATAGTTGGTGACGAAATTATCAAGTTATATCCTAAAAACATCGATGGCTCAGCAATATACAAGGGAATCGTTTCGGGAGAGCCACAGTCTTTTGCAAATGGTTATCTGCACAGAAATGGATTTATTGGCAAAATTCAATTAAAATACGATACTTTTTATACAGAAAATGCGTTTACGTATTTTAAAGACGAAACCTTTAATGATAAATTAATAATTTATAAAGACGTCGACATAACACCTGTACAATGCAAAAGAATAAAAGGAAATCGATCGCATTCCAAGCGGAAAAATAAATTTTATAAAAATTTATTTAATCGTAAAGAAACTTTGAGGTCTGTTTTTGAAATAAACTCTACATTTAACAAACAGTGAGTTTTATTAATTTAATCTTTATGGATTAATAAGGACTAGTTTGTAATTTGAACACTTAAAATAGTAATAAAATGAAAATTTCCGTCGTTTTCAGAAACATGTTAATGTGCAGTATAGAGATAATGGCAGACCATACCTTCGTAGATTATTTTAATAAAGATCGTGGAGCAATTATTGCAGAAATGTTATATCATATGAAAGTTGCAGACAAAGTCTTCAGAAATTTAGATTTTAGCACGGTAGATGCAGCTGAAGGAATAAAAATTAATGTGGAAAAAATTACTATCATAGAAAACCCAAATAATCCTGGTTATTATTTAAACGAATCTATAGATAACCATTTCGAATACACTACACTTCTATCTGGTCATTCAAAACAAACCTGGTGCATGTTTATAAATTTCTGCCACAGAGACTTTACAGAAACAATTGGAGAGGCGTATACTGGTAAGACAAAAATATCAGATAATTTAAATTTTAGACCACTGCAGGAAATCCAAATTGCTGCACTCTATTAAGTCATTACAAAAGCAGGAACTTGCTATTAACTTTTAACGTTAAAATAAAGAATCTCTCTTAAATTCTTCATTGAATACTATTAGCATTAATTAGCCTTTTTCTTACCAATTGCCACGCTTCTTTCTTTCAGCTTGTAGAAGGACCGAGGACAATATGCTTCAGTCAAGCGATATTATTTTAAAAATTCACCAAAAATCAAATTATCATTATATTCATACAAAAAATATTCCATAGACGATCCCGTTATTGATCACTTATAAATATATCATAACTTATTTTTAGATATAATAATATTTATAAATTAGTACTTAAATTGAAAATGAACATTTTCTATTAGGAGGAGTTTGTTGGGGAAACCCAAAAGGAATGAGTGGAAACGTGGCATTTATAACAAATGTGGCTTATAAGAGAAGAGTTCCACGAATGCAGATTAGTAAACGTTTGCTTCAGATAATGGGGAATTTACTCGGGGGTACCAACGATCCTCCTGATCATCCCGTGTGTTCACCCGCATACTTGAATAATAACACTCTCGGTAATTATATTATGTACAGCCAGTCAACATATAATTATTCAGATGGATGGTTGTACAACAACTGGAAGTTTTCTCCATGCAGCAAAATTCAAATATACGAACATCTTTTCGTAAATAAGGGAGGTAATTAAATTTCTGTTATTATTAAATTTCGTATGAACGAATAGTTTATTCTGCATATTCTTTTCGAATTTTTTCACGTTTAAGTTAATCAAATTTATAATACCCTTTCTTTAATTTCAAAATTTAAATTATTTAATACTTCATTTTTAATGTTTAAAACATTTGTTAGCTTCTTGCATGACGAAGCCAAAGTCAACATGCGGTAACGGAATAACGGAACAAGGAGAAGAATGCGACTGCGGAAGTAAAGAATCCTGTGAAAAACTCGATCCTTGTTGCAATCCTCCAGGATCAGGTGCACCTTGTGCACTCCGGAAACGATCGAAAAACTTTTGTAGTCCGCGAGAAGGAGATTGCTGCAACGAGAAATGCGAATTTGTGGCAAAGGAAGAACAACGCCAATGTTTTGTTTTAATTCCTTGCAGAGAAAAAATTCTTTAGTGTAATGGATTGACGCCATTTTGCCCGGAGTTGATTTTACCAGACGGATCAAAGTTTTTAGGTCCTAATAAATGTAAATCTGGCAGATGCCTCATCGATATTTGTAAAAGAAATGACCTAGAAATTTGTAAATGTGCAGATAACAAAGAGTGTCAGATATGCTGTGAAGATCAGAAGGGAAATTGCAAATCGGCTTCGGACTGGAAGATTAGACTACCAGATAAAGAAATATTTGCAACATTTCCAGAAACACCTTGTAACAACAATACTGGATGGTGTTTAATGTAAGAAA